CGTTGGGACCGTCGGGCGCCGCGCCGCAGCCACGCGGGCTCTGCAGCAGCAGCAGCAGCAGCAGCGGCAGCAGCGGCCAGGCGGCCACAGCCGGGCCCAGCGCCGCCATGGCGCCCTGAGGAGCCTGGATAGGGCATAATATGGGATATGGGATATGGGATATGGGATATGGGATATGGGGTATGGGATATGGGATCAGGGGTATGGGATATGGGGTATGGGATATGGGATATGGGATATGGGATATGGGATATGGGACTGTGGGCTCTGCAGCAGCAGCAGCAGCAGCGGCCAGGCGGCCACAGCCGGGCCCAGCGCCGCCATGGCGCCCCTGGGGATAATATGGGATAATATGGGATCAGGGATATGGGATATGGGGTATGGGGTATGGGATATGGGACTGCGGGCTCAGCAGCGGCAGCAGCAGCCAGGCGGCCGCAGCCGGGCCCAGCGCCGCCATGGCGCCCCTGGAATGGGGGAGAGATATGGGATAATATGGGATAGGGGGTATGGGATAATATGGGATATGGGATATGGGATATGGGATAGGCGATATGGGATAGGGAATATGGGACTGTGGGCTCAGCAGCAGCAGCAGCGGCAGCAGCTGGGCCCAGCGCCGCCATGGCGCCCCTGGGGATAATATGGGATATGGGATATGGGATAATATGGGATATGGGATATGGATATGGGATCAGGGGTATGGGGATATGGGATATGGGATAATATGGGATATGGGATATGGATATGGGATAGGGGATAGGGGATATGGGACTGTGGGCTCAGCACCAGCAGCAGCAGCGGCAGCAGCAGCCAGGCGGCCACAGCCGGGCCCAGCGCCGCCATGGCGCCCTGAGGAGCCTGGATAGGGGATAATATGGGATAATATGGGATATGGGGTATGGGATATGGGATAGGGGATAGGGGATATGGGATATGGGACTGTGGGCTCAGCAGCAGCCAGGCAGCAGCAGCCAGGCGGCCAGAGCCGGGCCCGGCGCCGCCATGGCGCCCCTGGGGATAATATGGGATATGGGGTATGGGATATGGATATGGGATCAGGGGTATGGGGATATGGGATATGGGATAATATGGGATATGGGATATGGATATGGGATCAGGGGTATGGGGTATGGGATATGGATATGGGACTGTGGGCTCTGCAGCAGCAGCAGCGGCAGCAGCAGCCAGGCGGCCACAGCCGGGCCCAGCGCCGCCATGGCGCCCCTGGGGATAATATGGGATATGGGATAATATGGGATATGGGATATGGGATATGGGATAATATGGGATAATATGGGATAGGGGATATGGGACTGTGGGCTCTGCAGCAGCAGCAGCAGCGGCAGCAGCCAGGCGGCCACAGCCGGGCCCAGCGCCCCCATGGCGCCCCCAGGAGCCTGGGATGGGGGAAAATATGGGATAATATGGGATAATATGGGATATGGGGTATGGGATAGGAGATATGGGATAATATGGGATCAGGGATAGGGGACACAGCCATGGTGCCCCCGAGGAGATGCGGGCTGTGGGCTGTGG